TGGGGCTGATGAAAGGAGATGGGGATAGGTCTCTTGTGGTACAATAGTGAATAATTGTTATCAGGACTGACTGTGGGTTGCAAATGTAAAGGCAGATGTTTTGTAACAAAAGGAGGGGAGTGGTTGATTTTGCAGTCCAGGAGCAGAGGACCCTGGGACCATCAAGGGAGAAATGCTGAGTGGGTGATCCTATCCAGAGAAGCAATGACGCCAGAGATGGAGGCGGAGAAGATGACATGGAGAGATGGAGCGGCTGGGGACTCTGTACTCAGGGAGGGAGAGGGGCTGTGTGCTGACAGTCAGGGCGAAGGCTTGCTGTGTGTATACTTTGGTTGTTTGATGATGCATGGAGGAGATTGTAATCATTGCAATGAAATGAAATATGATAGGATGACTGTAAAGCTGATGTTCTCCCATGTAAACTATTACTCAATTCACAATAAAAACTTTTAAAAACAAAAAAACGCATTCAGAAGCCTACGAAAGACTTCCCTTTCTGGTGTGGGGCAGCCACTTAGTCAGCCTGGACAGGTCTTGTCCTGCACTACCCGGCTCTGGCCGCATGAGGGCAGTCCAGAGCCATATCACCTAGAACCTAGGGAGATCCATTTACAGTCAGACCTCTTCTCTGAGCCCCAGCGGGACCCGTAGGAGTTAAAGCTCCTGATGGACCTCCCGTTGACCCCACTGCCACTCATCCTCTGGCTCACACTAGCCTCAGGACTGTGGGACACTAACTGTCCCCGGCTACTTTGTTAGGGCAGCCTGGGGACACTAAGGTACTTGGGAGAGCAGTGGGCTTACAGCTGGGCTCTGCCCTGGGCTGGAAGGGAAAAGAGAAGAGAGCCGATGCCCCCTATGTTGTGGTAAGCATCTGGCGGATATGTGCCATTCATGGTTACTGACCAGTCACTGACCAAAGCCTGAAGTCTGTAGGGTGGTCGGCAACACCCCTCCCCCAAGGGGCCATCGACAGTCCTCCTCAGTCCTCTGTGGACACATGACCTTCATGTCCCTGTCCCTGGGGGTGGCTGCTCCTTCTCTGTATCCTTTGGTCACCATCTGCGCCCTCCAGGTGTAGGCAAGATCTTCCACCCAGGCTGCGTGAAGAGCCCCTCACCTTCTGTGTGGTGTGGACCCATCCCATCAAATGAACACATCCCATAAACTCTTTCTTTTATTGTGGATTGAATTGTGCCCCCCCAAATCAATGTCAACTTGGCTAAACAATGATTTTCAGTCTTATATAATTATCCTTCAATTTGTGATCTAACTGTCCTATGTGTTGTAAATCCTGGTGCTGTAGGATAAGCACTGAACTGTTAACCACAATGTTGGTGGTTCAAACCCACCAGCCGCTCCTTGTAAACTCTACATAGGTTTGCTATGAGTCAGAACTCACTTGATGGCACCTAACAACAACAAGATGTTAATGAATTGCACCACAATGTAACGAAAACAAAAATTCTCACAACAGCATCTGTAAATAACATCATAATAAATAGAGAAAAGATTGAAGTTACAGAAAGCCTTCATTCCACTTGGATCTACCTTCAACACTCATGCAAACAGCAGTCAAGAGATCAAACATTGTATTGCATTAGGCAAATCTGCTGCACAAGACCTCTTTAAATTGTTCAAGAGCAAAGATGTCAGTTTGAGGATGAAGGTGTGCCTGATCCAAGCCCTGGTATTTTCAGTAGCCTCATGTGCACATGTAATGACTGAGGAAGACCCTAAAAGAATTGATGCATTTGAGTTATGTTGTTGGAGAAAAATATTGAAAGTACCATGGATTTCCAGAAGAGCAAACAAATCGGTGTTGGAAGAAGTACAGCCAGAATGATGAGACTTCTTGTCTCATACTTTTTTAGACATGTTATCAGGAGAGACCGGTCCCTGGAGAAGGATGTCATGTTTGGTAAGGTGGAGGGTCAGAGAAAAACGAGAGGGATTGGCACAGTGGTAGCGACAGTGACTGCAGACGTAACAATTGTGAGGACGGTATAGGACCGGGCAGTGTTCCGTTCTACTGTGCAGAGGGTTGCTATGAATAGGAGCCGACTCGATGGCACCTAACAAGAAGAAGAAGATGTTAATAAAACAGAGTAAGATGCAAGTATGTTAATGAAGCAGAACAGATTATAGAGATCAAACAAGCAGGAAATGATGAGCGGAACCTCAGGATCATCAAGAAAAAAGAGCCAGAACATCGTGTTTTCTTTAGACTCAGGATCCCTGTGTTGAGAAGCTCTTAGACCTAGGAGAACACTGAAACCAAGATACATGGAGATGTCCAAGGGTCACCAGGCCCACAGATGAAAACTCTCCCTCAGAGTCAACCCAAGAAGGAAGCCTTCCCCATGAGCTGGCGCTCTGGCTTAGGACATCTAGCCTCTTCAATGATGCCAGTTTGTTAAAGTCATCCACTTTATTTCTGTTAGCGCAGCACGAGAGAACTGAGACACCTTCTGTTGCATTCTAACTCATGGAGACGCTGTAGACAGAGTAGAACTGCCCTCTAGGGTTTCCAAGGCTGTGAGCTTTATGGGAGCAGACTGCCACATCTTTCTAGCATGGAGTGGCTGGTGGGTTTGAACCATTGACCTTTTTGATTAGTTGCTGAGCTCTTTACCACTGTGCCACCAGGGAGGATCCTTGCACACAAGCCCGCCAAACCCCAAATCAAATTCCCAAGCTTCCATGGAGTCAGTTCTGACACATGATGTATAGCGTTTCCGAGACTGTAAATCTTTAAGGGAACAGATGGACTCAAACTGCCGTCCTTGCAGTTAGCAGCTCAGTGCTTATCCTAGAGTGCCACCAGGGTTCCTTGCACCCCAAAACCTCCATTAAATGAGACCACTTGCTAAGCAGGGAAGAACTGAGCTGATATGGGCTGCTTACTTCATAACTTGTGCACTTATTCATAAAAGTCTTTTTTAAATTTAGATTTTGCAGTTTTCTTTTCGAGCCAATCATTGTTTCTGGTCTTGAATTCGCTTCCTGATACTGTGGTAACAAATTACCACAAACAGGTGGCTTAACACAACACATATTATTCTCACGGTTTGGAGACCGTTATCACTGGGTTGAAATAACGGTGTTCTGAAGCCATGGGGGAGACCCCTTCCTGGTCTCTTCCTGAAAGGAAAACATCTCATACCTCCCACATGGACAGAAGGGGTTGGACTCCTTAGGAGGGTGTGGGCACACGTTCTGAGAAGGGTACATGAAATTGCATTCAGAGTTCAATGGGTTGTTGAAGGTAATCACAGTTTGCTGTATAATGCATCGTGTACTATTCCAGGCATTCGAACCTGGGTATCTTTGCGGGCCTTTAGGCAGCCGGTCACCGTCTCACACATTTTTCTGGATCCTGAATGGACCCCCATTCATCTCCAGGCCTGATGCTCCCTAGGCTGGAGCGTCGTCTTACGCAGGGGCCCCAACTCCTCCGCACTAGACTTCCAAACGCATCGCAGCGTCACGAGGCACTGGCGAGCTCTGATCCTCTGCCAGCTCTCCCCTCTCGGCCGTCCTCCATCCGTGCTGGGCGCTCCGCACAGAAGAGGCACCGTGAAAATGTGGAATTGGAACGAACGAACGAATGAGGACGGAAAGTTGTTTGCACTGGTTCCCAAGCATGTCTGTATTTTGACTTGTTACAATAACGCCTTAAAGAACTTTGTTTTCTATGAAAAGGTGAAACGAGAAATATATGGGGAAGTAACGGGGCACCAGTCGCTGGAGAAGGCTATCATGTTTGGTAAGGTGGAGGGTCAGAGAAAAAGAGGAAGACCCCTAGCGAGATGGATTGGCAAAGTGGCAGCATCGATGGACTCAAGCGTGGCAACAGTAATGACCTTGGCCCAGGATCGGGCAGGGTTTCTTTCTGCTGTGCATGAGGTTGCTATGCACCTCATGCACAGGTACCGACTCGATGGCACCTAACAACAACGGGGTTACCGGGTATCTGGGCATGGGAACCCGCAAAGAGGGGAAAGCGGCTCCTCAGGGACTGGGGGGCATGCAGAAAGGGATGAGACCCAGCGAGGCGCGAGGGGCAGAGTCCGAGATCGCACCCAGGAACCCACAGGTGGCTAGAGCCTCGGGTCCCGGAGAGCCCCAGTCCTGACGCAGGTACCGCCCCATTCCACAACTCTCAACCTTCTACAACCGACCACTAGCTCCGAAGCGCCGCCCACTGAAGACTCCGCCCCGTAAGCGCGCCAAACATTGTCCTGCGCATGCGCTCTAAACTCCACGACCAGTGGGTTACCCTTTCAACCACAGAATCTGTCCTCACTGCGCAGGCGCATCAATTCGGTCCGCGCAGGCGTCAGACACCCCACTACCACCACACACCACGGGCGCACACACACACACACACACACACACACACACACACACACGGCGCTCCCAGGCCCGCCCTGTCCCTCTCCTGGCGGAGGTGTCATGGTGCCGCCTCCCCTGTCGCCGCCGCTGTGCATGTTGCCGGCAGGCCCCGGGCCTCCCCGCTTCGTGTGTTACTGCGAGGGGACCGGGGCCAGAGACGGTTTCAACCTCTAGTGAGTGACAGGGTCGCGGGAGTGGGGGGCTCGGGCAGCTCGGGGCTGGCGCGCCTGACATCTCTGCCGCCCTAGTGTGACGGACGCCGTGGAGCTCTGGGGTACCTGCTTCACGTCGGACGCGCTGCCGGCCCTCGTGGGTAACGGGAGGGCCGGGGGACCTGGGGTCGCAACACCCTATACCTGCGTCCCGGACCACAGGGGGCTCGGAGCTGTAGTCTCGGGATTGGTCTGGGGTCCCGGGCGGCTCTGACATTCCAGGAGTGTTTCCGATGGGGCTGGGATCCTTCAGGGTTAGGGCGGGTCCCAGGCAGCTGCTGACAGCCCCTATACCCGGCAGAAAGCCCGGTTTGGCCTGAACGCAGTTGAAGACCTCGCCCCCCGGTTCAGGTGAGCCCCCAAGAGAGAGAGAGAGGCCAGGGAGGCGAGGGCGGGTGGCTGTTCTGCCCCCTTATCCACACAGCGCCCTCGTCTCCCAGGGCCGCCTGTGAACAGCAAGCCGTGACCCTGAGCCTACAGGAGGACAGCGCATCCCTGACCCTATCCGGGGAACCCGCGACCCTGACCTTTGAGCTCTCCAAGGTGCCGGGCCCCGAGGCAGCCCCCAAGTTGCAGGCGCTCACCCTGGGCCTGGCAGAACGCGTGTGCAGGTTGGAGCAGCAGCTGGCCGGTAGGCTGGGGCTGGGCTCCCTAGAGTCCCTGGTCCATGCCACATCTTGGCTCTGAGTGAGTGCCCCCCTGGCTCTCTTCCCCAGCCGCGGAGGAGAAGGCCACCAGCCCCAGGAAGAGCCCCAGGCAGGTGGGACCCCAGCTCTTTTTACCCGGTAAGGTGTCACCTGGACATGGTCTTTTCTCTGAGACTCAGTTTCCCCAGAACCAGCCCACCCTGAGCCTCAGGCTCCTGAGTGAGGCTCTGGTCATGTGGAGAGGAGGTTGTCCCTGAAGGAGCAGCTGGGACCAGGAGCCCCTGACCCTGTTTGCCCCCCCGCAGACCCCGATCCTCAGAGGGGCGGCCCTGGTCCTGGTGTCAAGAGACAGAGCCCGGGAGAGTCTCTTATCAACCCTGGCTTCAAGAGGTACAGCCTGCCCCTGTCCCTGCCCCTCC